GGTTTGTGTAGAAACTGGGCGGGCTCTAGGACCCAGGGTTCTTGCCTCAGTGAAACACTAGTGGATGACTCTGATTGGGTGGAATTTCTGTCTGTCTCCCTGTCTCTTCCCAAGCCTGGGCTTTCGTCACGAACGCCGGGACATGGCAGGCCTCCACGCAGTGCCCTCATGGAGCGTAACAAGGAGAACATCACTCAGGCTCCGGGGTCTCTCCTGAGAGGTGTGCTGAGGACCCCTGCCAGTCCACAGCGTAACTACAGCATAAACTCTATCGCCAGCACCTATTCTGAGTTTGCGGTAATTCTCTGTTTTAAAAATACTAAAACTCCTTTTCCCTGGATCTCTTCAGCAACACACAGTCTAGGCAGAGGAATTTCCTTCAAATGGCATTTAACTGGTGCGTGTTAATAATTAAACATGGGTAAACGGACGCATCAGTGATTGCCAAAGTCAAGCCATTTAAATGTATAAATATGACGCATTGCTCTGATGCAATGAATTCCCTTTCAATCTATAGTTCTCTCTGTAGTTCATTGCAGTACTGGTCAGGTGTATTTCTGATTCTTCGTTCTGTTTTAGAAAGAATGTGTCATCCCTGACCCCCGCATCCCTCCCAGGTACTTGCAAGCAAGCCCCCCCACTTGTTGAGTGCATGAGCTGTTAACCACACCCCTGTAAATGCCTAACATTTCAGGTTTTATTTTCGGCGACCAGCCCCCTATTCTCAGCCTTGAGACCAATTTTCTGTGAGTTCCTAATTAGGCTTGACTGTGTGACATCAACCTTTTTTTATATATATAAACATAATGTCATTTTTACAGTCCTATAAAGTATTGAGTAGTCATTAATAAATGTCTTTTATCTTAAGGGTTATAAATAAGAAAAATTTGTGTTAAAACTCTAATCAAAACTGTCGCAAAGGCAGAGCCGTCGTTTTCAGCCAGCGGGTCCTTAAAGTGTGATGTCATTAAGCGCAGAAGCTGCATATTGAGGGAACCCCTAGGACCAGGGCAGAGCCGGGCTGGGCTGTGTGTTGCTGTTTTTACTCTGTCTCCATACTGAGGGTTTCTGGTTAACCGGTCTGTCATACTTGCACTCCAGCAATCTAACCACCTGTATGACTTACCCACCAACTCAGGCTCATGGGTTACGGGCAACCTGCTGCAGACTAATTCATCTGATACTTTTCAGTGTTTCACTAGCCTTTCAGCTTAGAACCACACTGCTAACTTAGTGTTGGGATAGGTAAAGTAAAAAGTCAGGGACTGGTTTCAATCACCTGTGCTCTGTCTGACTCTGTCTCATCTATTTAAATGTGTGTATTTGCACAACTTAGTATTATATTTCATTATACATCCATAAAAGTTGTTTTGAATAAAGTGACTAATTTAATGATGATTTGCCAAATAGTAAGATTAATAATTTTAGTATATTTGTTGGTTCTCTAAGTGTGATATGAGGGAGTTGTACCATGTCTTGGTGTAGAACAAGTGGGTTTCAAAGAGGGTTGATCTTGTTTCACATTCTTTCCTCTTTCTCCTCAGCGTGAGCTCTCAAAGGCTTCCAAATCTAACTGCAAGACCGGTGCCCTGAACTCTACCATCACTCATCGGTGACCTGGGGGGGGAGGGGGGGGTACTTCCTGTCACTACGGTTATGAGACATACATGAAGGTGAATCTGACCTTAGGATGAACACTATAGAGACAAGCTTATGTAATGACATGTATTTTTTTTAAATAAATGTACACTATTTTAATTAATTATTTTTGCACATACCAAAACATGTCTCTGTTAATTAAGCTGGCATGTCTCGTGTATATTAAGCTTAGTCAAGCTCGAAATGCTGTGTCATAACTGAGTCCTCTTGGTAGAGCTGAATGTAGGTGATTGTTTAGCTATGAAGTAAGAATCAGTGCGATAGTGTTTGGGTGCGCGGCGAGGCTGTGGGCTCCCCCCTCCGAAAGCGTGCCGTTCTGCATGCTCATCTTCATTAACATTTTGCACATTACAGATAGTCGCAGAGCATTACTTTTTGTATTTATTCATGGTGCTTTTCTGTTTTTATTTGGACACTTCCTTGATTGATTTTGTGCCTGTATTTGCTTTATGAATGGGCAACTCTTCTGAGCTGTTCCAGCAGCCCGCCTGTACACTGTAGTTTACACTTGCTGAGAGTTGTTACTTGTGGTCCCTCCCTCTACCTAACCTGTCTCTTGTAAATAAATGTTTCATATTTGTGCTTTTTTCTGATGGCCCTGTTGTCATATTAAGTAAAGAAACTTAAAATCTACTTGTACTGTCTGAAGTTTGTTACTGTAAATACACTACGTGTGTTAAACGGTCATTGTGGAGTTGTGTGACAAAATGGCTTCATAGCTGATTTAATATTTAAAAACATTTTCAGCTTCAGTAGTGATGTTTGCCATATCAGACATAGATTTGACTTGTGAATGTTTGTCACAAATACTAGACAAAGAAGACTGATTCAGGTACATGTGTGCATTTGTTAGTGTGTAATCAGAGTGTTGTGGAATGATAGTCCTTAAAAAATGTCTGCAGAGGTATTCTTTATTCATGCACGGTCTAGCACACCCCAAAAGTCGCTGGCAGCGAACATGCCTAGCAATACTACAGTGAGGAGCACAGATCAGCAATGTGATGTAACAATCTTCTGTTACGATGCATGGATTCTCTCTGAACTAAATGGCCATTTATTTGTATATAAATACAACTAGCGCTACTAAAACCCAGAACTTCCCAGTTCTCTCTTACATGTCCTAGGTTTACGTTTTGCATTACTAAGTCCCTTACTCAGTCACTATATTCATTGTCTTTATATTTTTCCACATTTCAGTTTGAACCATTTCCACTCCCACAAGGGGAATGAGGGCCAGTTGTAGCTTATTTGCCTGAGAGTATGACTACCTCTCTACATATCACCGTTTCAATGTGACACCCCTCCAAATCATTGAATTCAGGTGTTCCAATCACTTCCATAGCCACAGGTGTAGAAAATCAAGCACCTAGTCATGCAGACTGCTTCTACAAACATTTATGAAAGAATGGGTCACTCTCAGGAGCTCAGTGAATTCAAGCGTGATACCACCTGAGCAATAAATCTGTTTGTGAAATTTCCTTGCTATTAAATATTCCATGGTCACGTATTATAGCAAAGTGGAAGCAATTGGGAACAACGGCAACTAAGCCACGAAGTGGGAGGCCATGTAAAATCACAGAGCAGGGACAACGCATGCTGAGGCGCACAGTCTGCACAGTCAATAGCTACAGACCTCCAAACTTCATGTGGCCTTCAGATTAGCACAAGAACGGTCTTTAGAGAATGTCATGGAATGGGTTTCAATGGCTGAGCAGCTGTATCCAAGCCTTACATCACCAAGTGCAATGCAAAGCGTCAGATGCAGTGGTGTAATGCACACCGCCACTGAACTCCAGAACAGTGGAGACGTTCTCTGGAGTGTCTAATCATGCTTCTCTATCTGGCAATCCGATGGACGAGTCTGGGTTTGGCAGTTGCCAGGAGAATGGTACTTGCCTGACTGCATTGTGCCAAGTGTAAAATTTGGTGGAGGGGGGATTATGGTGTAGGGTTGTTCAGGGGTTGGGCTTGGCCCCTTAGTTCCAGTGAAAGGAACTCAATGCTGCAGCATTCAAAGCCGTTTTGGGCAATTTCATGCACCCAACTTTGTGAGAACAGTTTGGGGACGGCCCCTTCCTGTTCCAACATGACTGCACACCAATGTACAAAGCAAGGTCCATAAGGACATGGATGAGTGAGTCTGGTGTAGAGGAACTTGACTGGCTGCACGGAGCCCCGACCTCAACCCGATAGAACACCTTTGGGATGAATTAGAGTGGAGACTGAGAGCCAGAACTTCCAACATCAGTGCCGGACCTCACAAATGCTCTCCTGGAAGAATGGTCAAAAATTCCCACAGACACACTCCTACACCTTGTTGACAGCCTTCACAGAAGAGTTGAAGCTGTTATAGCTGCAAAGGGTGGGCCAGCTCCATATTAAAGCCTATTATTAAGAACGGGATGTCATTAAAGTTCATGTGTTTTTAATGGCACGTGTCCCAATACTTTTGGCAGTATAGTATATCTGCATGAGCTGTGGTCTGTGGAGGCCGACCTGATTATTTTACTTCAGGTTTGTAGGACCTGTCCCTAAAAAGATGTTTGGTAACAGTTACCATGGAAGTTTTCTAAGGATTTCATACGAGCCTAATCCACATCCCAGTCCATCTCAGGATGTACAATATGGCCAGTCTGGGATCTAATCTCTTATAAGTAACGTTTCAGTGAAAGGTGGCTTTCTGTCTAGATACTTCGTCTTCACGTTCTTTAAGGTGGTGACTAACTAATAAATCCAGAATTGTTCTCTGTTCCTGAATATCTCTGGCTGTAGCGTGAGGGTCATTCACCTTTCCTGGTGTGCAGTAATCTCACCATAAAGGAATAAAGTCATCACATCATGCTAGTTAAACGGACACACTCCAGCTTACAGGCACACCTGCATGTTCGCTCCAGTTACTCTTGAAAGGTTTTACTCTAAGGGATCCTTTTCTTAAAAGCCTTAGATCCAGAGTGGATCTAATGAAAGGATGAGCAGAAAGGGACATTTTTTAGAAATGAAGATAGATGTCTCATAAGCAAGAAGCATATTTTGGAAATTTGTGTAACACACCTTTGATCTGTGCCTTGTAACCTAGATGAATCTGAGCTCAGGAATATCCGCAGCCCTTTGAAATGAAAGTTTATTTATTTATTTAGTTCTTGTAATCATTATGTAAGCACTAAGATTGCATTGTCTGTGATCCTTCATTTTGTGATGTTTTTTTTCTTCTCTTCCTTATGAACATGTTGCCAAGTACAATGTTCTCAGGAAGGAGAGAAGTTGTTCCCACCCACAAGTGTTTTAGAAGTCCTCTTCCTGTGAGAAACTTGTCCTGGAGGTAGAAGACTACGAAGAAAGAGGTATGTTTCACTGTACTGGCATTTAGACTGGTAAGACTGTAATGAATATTTGATCTTGAAAAAGAAATAGTTTTTTTTGCTAAATTTCAGACCTGCAGACGGGTTTATATTCTCCTTTGCATACAGATATTTAGATGATATCACAAGCGAAATAAGCACAGAAATAATTTTTGATGGACATACTGAGATGCCTTTCGGTACAGAACCGAACAGGAACGCACTGCACTAGGTCATAGGGCCTCTGTTAGGAAGCAGAACCCAGGCTAAACGGAGCGGACTCCTGTGTTTCAGCCAATCCAGTGAGGCAGACAAGATGATGCTGGAAGGGTTTGTGCTGTTACTGCTACAAGGTAAAAGAAACAGAGGCTTTGGTTAACCACAGAAAGGGAGTGTGTGTGTGTGTGTGTGGGGGGGGGGGGGGTTAAGTATATATTACATTGAAGGGACTAAATGTCCCCACAGTGTGATAAAGACCTGTGACTGCAATCAAAAAAACTAAAAATGCCAAAAGTCTTGTATTTTGTTTGCTTACTTATGGTTAAGGTTAGGGCTGGGTAGGGGTTAAGGGTGTCATAGTTGGGATTAGAGTTTTTCCCATAGAAATGAATGGAGGGTCCCTAGAAAGATATGAATACAAACGTGTGTGTGTGTTTTCTTAATGGTTTTGTAACTGAAAAGTATTAATGGCAACATCGCTTAAGCTCAAAATGTCTCACATTCTGTCTTCTGTCTACTTCTGTCACCATCATCCATCCATTTAATATAACCGTTTATCCTATTTCAGGTTGTGGGGGGGTCCAGAGCCTATTCTGGGGGCTACCGGCACAAAGCAGTATAGAGGACACCAGAGATTTTTAAATAAAGTCTACTTAACATACAGCCTATCCTTTTGATTAATTCAGCTATGTATTACATTATGCTGCAGTGTGTAACGTTGGCATAGCGCGTTTCCATGACAGCACGTGTCCATATTCAGGGACGGGAGCTTTCGTGATCCGCAGCCCTGTCCCCAGCCCATGCCTGGGGGCCTCCTCTGGGAAGGAGCGGCTGCGCCTGAGGCCGTGTGACCTGGACTCCGATCCTCCATTAGCAGCTGTTCATCTCCTGGTTCGCCGTGGTATGGAGCAGCCCCTGACCACAGAGCCGCCGGGCCCTTGCATCTATGACCCCAAGACCCATGGAAAGCAGAGGTCATCCCCACGGATCTGCCTTGACAGTGCCCTGCCGCTGGCTTCTGACAGCCGGGACGTCACGCTGCCTTCGGGAAAGCTGCTCCTCTGGGAGGCCAAGCTCAGAAAGGAGAATCAGCGTGAGTACTGATCTCCAGACCTGTCACATGATCACATGGCGGTTATGTGGCATGCAGTTCATCGCTGTGCACTTACTCTGTGCACTTATTCAGTTTTCTTTGTGTTTGACTCTGTGCGGATAACTGTGCACTTTGTGTCCATCCCTGTGTATCTCTGTAGTTTCTCTTTCTTGATTTATAAGTTTCATTCTTTATCCCTGTATAGTTAAACTATACAATATGGAAAAAAGTATTGGGACACCTGCCCATTACATCCACAGGAACTTTTATGACATCCCATTATAAATCCATAGGCATCAGTACAGGGTTGGTCCCCCCTTTGCAGCTATAACAGCTGCCACTCTTCTGGGGAGGCTTTCCACAAGATTGTGGAATGTGTCTGTGGGAATTTTTGCCCATTCATCCAGAAGAGCATTTGTGAGGTCAGACACTGACGTTAGATATGAGGCCTGGCTCACAATCTCCATTCTAGTTCATCCCAAAGGTGTTCGATGGGGCTGAGGTCAGGTTCTGTGGCCAGTCAAATTCTTCCATTCCAGACTCACCCAATCATTCATTCCAGACCCCGCTTTGTTACTTTACGTGGTCTACCACTTCATGGCTGAGTTTCTGTTGTCCCTAAACACTTCCACTTTGCAGTAATACCACTTACAACTGGCTGTGGAATATCTAGCAGGGAAGAAATTTCACAAACTGACTTATTGCAAAGATGGCATCCCATGACAGCACCACACCTGAATTCACTGAGCTTTTCAGAACAACCCATTCTTTGAGAAATGTTTGTAAAACTGACTGCATGGCTAGGTGCCTGATTTTATACACCTGTGACAATGGGTGTGAATGAAATGCTTGAATTCGATGATTAAGGTGTGTTTTCTTTGAAATGTGACTCTGTATTGGTCCCTGTCTAGTTACTGTTTATCTCTTTATATCTTTGTAGTTTCTCAGTCTTTATCTGCAAGTTACACAGTTTATCTCTGTGAAGTTACTCTGTCTGCTTTTTCTGTTTTCCTTGTATACTTACTCTGTGTTGATCTCTGTGTTGTTATCCTGTGTTAGTGCAGCGATATAGAGGGACAATCTCTGACTTTATCTGTAAGGTACACAGTATATCTCTGTGCAGTTACCATCTGCTTTTTCTGTTTTCCTTGTATATTTACCCTGTTGATCTCTGTGTTATTCTGTGTTTGTCCCTCGATATCGCTGCACTATCTCTGACTTTATATGTAAGGTACACAGTATATCTCTGTGCAGTTACAGTGTGTGTATCTCTACATGCTCGTTCTGTGTTCCCATTATGCAGATGCTGGCTCTAACACAGACTCGCTGTATTTCAGGTTACAGAAGGGCTTTTGATAATGGAGATGATTCTGAGGGAGAGTCAGGGGATGCAGACGAAAGCGACCCAACGGAGGAACAGAGGGAGTACTTAAGATGGTATTACCGCACAGAGGACCGTGAGTGCCTTAGGCTTACTAAATTACCAAATACAAACAGCAAACTAGACATTTCCCTGAGAAAAATGTAGTGACTATCTTTAAATACTTTCGGCTTTACAGTATGCTATAGCAGTGTTTACCAGCCCATCCTTTGCGGAGCAAAAACGTGGACTGTCAGGCAGGGAGCTGAGAGGGAGCAAAAACGTGGACAGTCAGGCAGGGAGCTGAGAGGGAGCAAAAACGTGGACTGTCCGGGGCTTCCCCTGGGACCGGGTTGGGATACACTGTACTATAGCCTCATGATACCCTTTAGTCTTCATTTTTTAATGCATAACAAAAGCAATAAGGTGTTAGTGTAAAATCCAGTAGCAGCTCCTTAATGGCGTTCCTTTCCCGAGCCCCTTCACGTCACCAGAAAGAGCCCAACGACATTGACGGTATTAGGGTCTGGCGCTTTATTGCCGTCACATTTAGGATTTCGTAAATATTGGAAGTGCGCTTGCATCTCAGCTTGGCCTCTCTGTGTCTGTGTCGCAGCCTCTTCCTGGAAGTACGCCATGCTGGCTCTGTCCTTTGTAGCCCTCCTGCTGGGCTCTTTACTCTTTGGCCTGGGCATCATGGCTGACAGGTGAGCGGTTAGCGTCCAGCGCTCTGGTGTAGCGTTTCTTCCCAAGATGCACAGGGCAGCCATTTTGGGATGCTGACCCCCCCTCCCAACTCCCTTTCAGGAGCAGGAAGGCCATCGCCATGTACAAGCCTGCCATCCAGCTGTTAGAAATGGAGAAGCTGGACAGTGGGACCCAGAAGAGAGGGACCTCAGATGCTTCACCCCAGGGAGACTGGGCCACAGTCACTGCCCTTGTGAACCGCGATGAGGTAGACAGGATGAAACCAGGAGACATCGTGTTAAAGTGGAAGGACGGCAACGTGTCAGTGCTGTAGCCGGAAACCCAGAGCCCCGGTCCCACTGCCAGGCGACTGCTCCCTCCCAGCTGGGGGATCGGGGGCCTCCTCAGCAGTGCTCCCCAGCCGCTCCTCAGGACCGCCTTCACTGTGACTGCCAAGGACATGCAAAGCAAAGACCACACCTCACTGCACAGCCTGAAGAACAGCTGAGTCACTGCATTGCAGTTCAGGGTCAGGCAATGCTGAACTGGCCAGTCTTTGCAGCAGGGCTGGGGGTATACAGTCACATTGAAGTCAGTCATAAATAATCACCTTTATTTTCCTCATTTTGAATTTACTTTAAATGCTCCTCCAATTAAACAGAATTCTGTTTCCAGCAAGTTTTTCAAATAGAACAAATACCTGAATATAAGATACTTCCCCGTAAATATAATGACAAATAAAGATTAGACAATCAATACATTTCTTTGATAGCTTCTCTACTGAAGATGAAATATTTTATCAATTATATTTTTGGTGTATTTTATATGTGGTCTGCAAAAACAACATGACTTATGCCTGAGACAATCTGAAGAGAATAAAAATGATGAAAATATAAATTAAAAATCCATCCACCAGGGTGAGCGCTGTATATGTAGCACTGACCACTGGCTGAACTGGAACCACAGGCTTTTAAATGGATTAAACTGTAACAGGGTTTCAAACAGTACGATCTTTGCTCTTCCTGTACTTATTGTCCTGGACCACTAGAGGGTACTCAAGAGCTGGTCTTTTGGGGCGTCGCTAACTGCGCATCAGTCCGCAAAGCTGGAGCAAACTACAGTGAAACACTTTGGGTGGTGTGTCTCTGTTCATTCCAGTAGTCTTTTTTTTTTAAATCTCAGTTTTTTATTCGCTGATTCTTTGGCGCGTATGTCCTGTTCCTCAAAGGTAAATGTCATCCATGGTTCTCATCAGCTTTACCCCCCTCCCCAGCTCAGAAGATCCTGAAGCCTTTCAGCAGAGTAAGGGTGGGTGCCCGGCGTTTGCTCTGTGCCCGTGACGACTTGACAGGGACGACCCTGGCACCGGCGGGTGTCGGCAGCTCTCCGAGGCCGGGTCCCAGCGGCAGGGTGGTGGCCAGGCTGGCGGAGGGCCTGTCCTCGCTGATAAAGAGGGGGCTTGTGGGCCGACCCCTTTCAGCGTCCCGCCGCGCCTCTCGCACGGCCTCGTGAAACACTCGCTGCACCGAAATGAAGTCCTGGCAGGCGGATACTTCGAAGAACAGGCAGCTGTAGTGGGAGGCCAGGGCGCAGCCGTCGGACTCGCTGACCTGCCTGTGACGGAAAACGGCAGAGCAGGATCCACTGACCACCAGCAACACCGCGGCTGACTGGCCGAGTAGATCACCCACAGGCTTACACACGTGTTCTCACATGGGCCCGCTGATACTCATGTGAGCTTATTGCCCCAGGACCTGTATTAGCTTGTGTAACACCTGTTAGCCTCTTTTGCATGATAATGTAAGTCAGTGTAAGTCAGATAATGTAACTTTGTAAGTCAGTGTGCACACTTACATTCAAATCAGTTAGGGAATTACATTTATAATGCCCAAAACATTACAAACCATGTTACAAATATATAACATGTAAACTCCACATGCACAAAAGCAAAGGTGGGATTCGAACCCAAACCTCTGGAGCTCTGAGGCAATAGTGCTACTCACTGATATTTACCATGCTGCCTACATAATGTAATATGTTGATATATGCATTGTGTATGTATGTATGTGTGTGTATATATATATATATATAATATACACACACATACATACACTCAATATATTATTGGTATATATGAAGGGACAAAGACTAAATAAACTGAAATATGACAAAACCCCAAGTTGATGAGTTAGGTCCGGTGTCCAAAGCTGACCGGTATCGCTCCATGTCCAGCTTGTTCCCAAGCAGGAGGACGGGCAGATCCACCTGCAGCGACTTGGCGTGCGCCGCCACAACGTCTAGGTACCGCTGGCAGCCCTCAAAGGTGCGGCGGTCATCGATGCTGTAGACCACCAGGAAGGCGCCGGCCCAGGTCAGGTATCGCTCACAGTTCACCGGTCCGTCCTGCAGTTTCCAGGCGGGATTTAAAGTGCAGTCAGAGCAACAGAACTTCCCCGTGTGTCAGTAAACCTCTCTGGGTCTCTGAGTTATGTGCAAAGAACAAACTCAAAACAGGTTCTGCTCTGCGGTGAGAAGTGTGACAAAGCTATACAGAGCTTGTGAGTGCAAGAAGCTTTTTAACATTTGTAAAGATTTTTATCCTGTCTATGGTAAAAGAGCTTTATACAGCTGCAGGGATCTACCTTACTCAACGCATTACAGTCCCTAAACATCCATTCACCTTCATATCTGCTTAACCAGTCTATAGGTCACAGTGAGACAGTCTGTCTCAGGATGCCACACCATCACAGGGACAGGGAAACCTGCCAGATTTAATTATAATTAATAAAGATGGTGACTGAGAGAAACCCTATTTTAATAGAACCTGAACTAGACCGGAAACCTAAATTACACTCATGGTCAAACAGATTTAATCTCCCCGATTGTATATGTACCTGGTCAGCAGTGTCCATAACCTTTACAAGAACTGGCTGTTGGTCCACAATCTCTTCCGAACTATATATATCCTCTAAAATACAAATAAGTTAAACAAAAATGTTAACATTTTTAGAAACATTGTTCTCTTTTATTGTCATATATTTCTAGTTTTCATTTCTAGCTTCATAAGGACTTCTGAAATGTTTAGTTAAATCAATTAAATCAAATCCCCATATTTCTCCCGTCCAATTAGCGTCTAATTAGCTTAAAATGCCTTTTCAGTCTCACCATATGATCTTTATGTCTTTTCATCTGAATTTCTACAATTTTTTTAAACGATCGTTAACACTTCAGACGCAAGGCGAGGCTCAGCGGTAAAACACGCCGTTGTGTTCGTATGTGCGCTCGAGTGCGGCGTTTGATCCAGCCCCGTATCTGCGATCGCCTTGTGCCCCTACCACCCCGGTCCAGCCACCGCCGCACGCCTTTTGGAGATCAAAGCACACTGCGGGTCCCCCAGGGAAGCTCGTTTTGGGGATTGCAACGTTAGATAGACTTTCAAACACACGTGTGAGCACTTTACAGTGTCTTATCTACTGAAGATGAAAGCATTCCTGTCATCTCTTTGGGAGGGAGACTCACCCATGTTAGGGTCATATTCACTGATGAATCGCCTCGTTAGAAACTTCACGGTCAGAGCTGGAGGAGAGACGCTTCCTGTTTACACTGAGCAACGTGACGATGCAGGCGACAATGCGAGCCGCTGTACATCTGAGAGCTGCGGGGGCTTCGGGGGCATGAGAATCCCCGCTTTACAAAAGCAAGCGCATTTAAAGCACTGCTCACTCACGCAATGCTTTAGCTGCATATTATGTTTTAATATGTTTATTTTAATATAGATGTTGACTGAAGAAAGACTTTAGAAGACTATAGCGTTTGTTCTCTTGAGAAATCTATTACATAAATGATTAAAAATAGTAAGTTATATTACCTGATTTGCCCGAACCCCGTATTCCTAACACAGCAACATTGCACTCAGCTCGGTCCGGCATAGCGGAGGTCCTAGTTTTCCCAAACATCGAAGACATCCTAGATTATTGGAATGTACAGATATATAAAATAGGTTAGTTCGACGTATAACGTGGTTTACGTGTGCGTTCATAAATTATAAGCTAATAATGGGCACAGTGTTTAATGACTTTACTTATTGTATTGACAAGCACAATATTCTGTGTAAATTGTAAGTATACGCTAACGCACGGCAACTTTGCTCTTTTTAGTTCAGATTTAGGGTTAAAATACGGTTACTGTCTTGCTCCAAATAAAAAAGAATTAATGAACGCTGCTTACCTTCTCACTTCGAACCGCTCATTCGAAAATGCAAATAAATAAAACCTTTTTGGTAGTGTCAAATTCGAATTGGGCTATTCAATTAAATTCCCTCAAACGACAACTGCATTTCCCGTTACATTAATCCGTAATTATATTAATTTAAGAAATGTCCTGATGTGATTCCGAAATTTCTGCGAGGACTTTGCGCCCTTTGAGAGGAGACGGACGTATTTAAAGGGCTGATTTGCTGTTAATGGTGCCGGATGCGTATCTGATTGAATGCCAAGTTCCTTGTGATAAACTCGTCGTTTTTTTCCGAAATATGCATGCAGGGAGACGACCTTCCCTCTCCTCTCATGGGAGGTCTTTTTTTAGAGGGATTTATGAATATTGACGGGATACACTAAAAAGCAACAGTTTATATTGCAGCATGCGTAATAAGAAATACTATCGGTTTGATCCCATAACTCATGTTGGATTACAATATTTGTATTTGTCGTGACTGTAGGCACAGCATTACTGTAGTTTTCGGACCACAGCTCGTTAATTTAAGCAGTTTGGAAATTGATGGTAGACAGAGAGATTAATCATTTTCAGTAAAGTAACTACACTATACTTGGATAGAAGTTAACATACACGAAACACGGTGATGTACACATTAGTAAATGTGTTTTGACGTTATATCGTACTTCAATTTAGATGAGGATTACTCTGAACACTACGCGCTTTACTAATAATGAAGATTAATTAAATCAACCGCTACGACCAGCAGCATCGCAGCGCTAATTGATTATCGTGTTTGTTGGATTCTCGGAAATATTGCAGTTTTATTTTAGCTTTGCATAGTATTCACCCTTAACCAGGGGAGTTTCTAGCTATTTCTAGCTAAAGTCCAGGGGTGAAGTCAAGTTTACGTGACTTTTTATTTTATTTTTAAAAAAAGAGGAAGATTGGTGTCACGCCCCGCTCCGTCCGCTCCTAGTGTGTGCCACGCCCCCTCATTATCCACGTGTGCTTCCCCGATTGTGCCCAGCTGTTTCCTGTTTCTTTTGCCTTGTCCTGTGTATATGAGTCCGCGTCTACCCATGTATGCCAGATCCGGCATTGTATTGTCCGTCGATGTCCGGCTCTTGTGCATTAAACCCAGTTTACCTGAAGTCCTGGCTTGCTCTCCTGCTTCCCTGCTCGCCTCCTTCGCCGATCGTGACAATTGGCGTCGGGGATAAAATACTCTGAGCTAACCTTAAAATACTCCAGGCTATAATCCCAGCCCGGAGTATTCAGGCCTGACTGCCGGACAGCATAGGAACCTCAATATATGTGCCAAACAATACATTTCAAGACAGGGATGTCTGTTCATATTCATTATTTATTTATATTTATTGAAATCGTTTCTTAAGAGGAATTGGAGATTTTTGTTGTTCTGACCCCTAAGGCATATTGAAGCAGAAATGTAATGTAAATGTTAAATGTAATCATGAAATTACCCAAAGTAGCTCTATGATTTACAGATGGCAACTGGGAAAGTAGAATCATCCCAGAATATCTACAATGTCAGCTACGGAAAGTTCCAACTATATCCGACAGCCAAAATGCTGGAAGGATTCAATTTACTAGATTATCAGGAGGCATCAGAGGAGTTTGGACAGTTATGGTTTGCTAAAGAGACAAATTGGTCAGCTGTGATTCATTTTGATTACTTTACCTTGAGCTCAGTTCTCAATTATATATGGTCAATCAAGTAAATGTCAATGAATAAAGCAGGTTATGTGATGAACACCTCATCGTCTGAAGGTTGCTGATCCAAGTTCTAGGAGGGGCTGTCCATATAGACTGTTAGAAAAGGTATTTAACCTGAAATCCTCCAGTAAAATATCCAGCTGTATAAATAAATAAAGTCACATTGAATGAAAGCATCAACTAAATAACCAAATGTGGTCTAAGTATTTTGTTTTAAAATAAACTGCTATTGCTGTGTTGTTCAGCTGTTAACTGTATTGTAATGCATTTGAACCTGGAACCTAAACCTGTTTTTTCAAAGCTTTGAAATACTGCTAGTGGTGGACTCATTTCATGAGTGGATTTGGGTTCTCATCGTTTAGCCTGTTCGTGTCATTAGCTCCTCCAGGGCCCGCTCCCTGTGGTTCTCGTGGACGAGCAATGCCTCTTTGATCACATTCTGCTGGAAGCCCATCTCATTGAACTGGGTGAGGAGATGCAGGAACTCAGCGGCCTGTAGTGGCAACAGGAGAGAAGCAGCAGACCCTGATTAAATCTGTTGGTTTCTTCAGAAAGCAACCATCTGCTGTGGAATGTGGGGAGTTTTGTGGGATGTCATTCAACCCATAAAAACAGCATGTTCAGATGAAGGCTCCTCAGCTTCAATCAGAGACTAGAAAGAAGAGAATCCAGTTGTTGCAATGATCTAGGTGAGACCAAGATTAATGAAACGTGCATGGAAGGAGAACAGCTTGGAAGTGTGATACCACTGGTGGCAGTAAAACCTGAGAGGTGACTCACCTTCGCCTCACAGTTCTGGAACATCTCAAGGGCCTCCTCTACCTGCGTCTCATCGTAGCCCAGTTTGCAGAGACGGTCATGGGCCAGCAGGTAGCTCAGGACCTGGGGATGGGCACATACAAGGGGTGAGAGGAGGGAGGAGCTGCTCTCTGAAGCTGATTTCTCCATAAAGCCTCTTTATCTTCATCTTTACTGAAGATCCATTGGTACAGACCTAACCCCTGTGTTCAGTATGGCACTAAAGGTGAATAAATTTAGTCTTACACAGGACTATTTTATTATTTATAATTGTTAACAAAACAAAGTGTGGATGGGTTTGGCTTCTGCGGTGTGGCAATGATGGTGATGTTTGGTAAAGGTCCACTGGAGGAAGTCAGACCTGGTGGTGGGGTGAGATTGTTGACCCCCCCAGCAGAAAACGTAAACTAGGGGAACAGGGTTGGAGTTTAAGTAGAGTTTCCATAAACAGCTGATGCAAGAGGAAATGGATTATAGGGACTAGGTTTGATTAATAATAAAACTTAAGTCAAAACCTGGTGTAAACAGGTTAATGCAGAGAAGCAGATAACTGACTAGACACCTGTGCTGAAGTGACGTAGAGGAAGCGGGGAGGCCTTATTTTAAGAGATCCTCCTCAAACAGGATGCAGTGAAATGGCACTGGCTGCCATGTGTAACTGTACACCACTGAGAGGATGATAGTGACCTAACAGCAGGCTGCGGAGAAGCAGGCACCTGCTGGCTATTTTCATCCACAGGCAGTCAGCAGTAAGTTTGTGAAGATGGAACCGGATGTTTCTTCTTAAGCGAAAACCACAGCTGCTTTTAGCGTAGGCCAGGCTGAGGGGCTCGCAGCCGCGTGATGTTACAGTCAGCACACTGACTTTTGTAAGTCTCGTGAAATAAGATAAGATGAACAAACATATGGAAAACGTATCCATGTGACAGGAAACCAAGAATAAGCAGTGGAACACGTCTTTTAGAGGGGGAGATCTCCGGGAGTCCAGCTGCCTCCGAGCTGCCCCCCCCCCCCGGGGTTGTGCTGCTGTGCTGGTAAGAGGGGGCGTTTGCCAACTGGTAGGGGGTCCCATCAGCAAACTAAAACAAATATTGACCAAGTTGTGGTGATCGTAGGCGGTCCAAAAAAGGCAGTCAGGCCTCAATAGGGAGACACTTTCAATCTTCCGGGCAAAAGGGGGCCCCACAGCCCCCCCATGTCCCTGCCTAACTATACTCCATTATCCTCTACTCCATGTCTTATGCACTATAGGGCTACATCAGCAGTGCTCTTCTCACCCTCCGTCAGTGAGGGCAGTACCTCGCACAGACGTGTGCAGCGCTCACCCTCTCGGCACTCTGACGACCCGTCTTCTGCAAGGCGGTGATGGCCGTGTGTAGCGGGTAGCCTTGGTCAGTGATGGTGTCCAGGAGATCCCTCTCATCCTGACTCAGGGCTGACAGCAGCTCCGCCGACGAGTCCGGGAGCGTCGCGTGGGAATCGTGGGCCCGACGCACCGAGCGGGGTGGTGGCAGCCGGGAATAGCGGCTCAGGGACTGCAGAGGAAACAAGGCAGGGTCACGACCCCTGACCTGGAGCTGGGAGCATCCTGGGAACACCGCTGCAGGGCTCAGTTTAAAATCCTCATTATAAATCAAGTTAAATTTCCTCCAGGGAAATAGAAAATGTGGACAAAACTAATTCTAAAGTCTGCTAAAAGCAACTGGTAACATGGCTTTTTTGAATCATTGAAAGAGGAGCAAAATCAAAGAGATTTTTTAAATGTGTTTGAATATGTCAACAGTTCACATCCCAGGACTGACTGGAGGTAGTAGCCCTAAGACACAGGCCCTCAAGCTGAGTAGTTCCAGAACATTCACCAACTATACAAATGGGTTGAAACATATTACTCTGGATAAACCAATTGAAAAAATCCCCTGAACAGATTTCCTAACACAATAACATTTACAGCTATATTAATCCTAACATTTTCAGTGAGTATGTGTTTTTGGTGATCAACACAGGTTCCTAAGTGTCTGTGATTCACTTCAGGTGCCATGAGGGAGCCAATCAGAGCTGCTGTTACATCAAGTGTTCAGATTTCTGATTGGATGTCAGTGTGCTGAGTGACCTTTCAGGGTTGGAAGTACATCTATACTCTGATGGTCCTGTGTGAATTGAGTTTAATTGACTCATGTCATTGGATGAAAGTTTAGTGGCCATTTGCACTGCTATCTGCCTTGTATGTCAGTTTGCAATTTGGAAAGTTTATTTTAGGGAAATGCACTGCACTATAGTTATACCATAGTAAATACATTCTTGGAGATGCCCATTTGTAGTGATGGACAAATGAAGCTTCGTGAACCATTTGCTGTATTTTCTGACCCCACTAGATGGTGCTCTCTATCCGTAAAAGGGCTCAAAGCATGCTCCAAAGCAAACCAACAGCACCATCTAGTGGGGTCAAAAATACAGCAAATGGTTCATGAAGCTTCATTTGCCCTTCACTACCAATTTGTAGATGTTAAGTGATTTAATTCAAGATATGCAGTTGAATCAGCTGCTTCATTACAAAACAAAGCCTTCCTGAATTTTCCCAATAAATGGCCTTCATGTACCTTTAATAGCCATGCCCTAGGGGTGCAGTTCCAAATGTACCGCAGTGCATTGTGGGTAGCGAAGTCATACCAGTACCGAGGATTTGTACTCTGCGGTTGAGGGCCTGGGTGGTGGCCGGCTCCTGGGCGGAGAGGAACATGGTGGCTGAGGCGTTAGGGAACGTCTGTGGCCCAGTGTGTGTAGCTTCCTCTTGGGGTGCCGCTGGCTCGTGAGCTGCAGGATACTCTCAGTTGGCTGCACGGGCTGCCCGGAGTCCTGGGGGGGCAGTGGGGAGGTGGTCCTGCGCCGGCGGTGCTGGCATGGCGATCTCTGGCGCCGCAGGTGTGGTGAGGAGCTGCGGCGACACTCCCTCGGTGTCCTCGGCCTGTGCCATTGAGCCGCCCTGCCCCGTGGAGACGCCCTGTCCTCCTCCGTGGAGGACGACTCGTCATCCTCAGAGTATCCACCCTCACCTTCTGAATCAGAGATGAGCAGCTTGACACGGGGGTGCATGCAGCGGCCTTCAGTGGCCGGCAGGCTGCGGCTCCGCTGGCGCAGCGGCGCCTCCCAGAGGTCACCGCTCCTGAGTCTGGCCAGGCGGCTCTCCTGTGGGCTGCTGAACATCAGCCAGTACGGAGGACAGGAGGGCCGGGGCTTAGAGGATGACCGTAGGCAGGCCGAGCCCTCCTGGGTCCCAGTCAGCACCCAGTTCTCCAAACAAAACTCATACTGCCGTATGCAAAGAAAACACAAAGACAGACCACGATGAACATCCCTGTATAATAATGCTAATTCTGAGGAAACATCAGGTTAGAGAACAGATTCTGCATCTTCAGATTTCCTGTCATATGTCTTAGATTCAAAATTAGTGTTGTGTTGTGTCTAAATTATTGCTTTGTACCTTGTTTCCTGGGATCAGCCCTAGGATCTCTGTTACATCGGCTAAACGGTCAAGGAAGATACAAAAATGGATTTTATTTCTATTCGTAATAAATGTACAAGTAGTGATGGGCAAAATGATACTTATGAACCATTTCATGTCTCCACTAGCCCTTATTATGACAGCAAACTGAGGTAGAAGCTGCAGGGTTCCTGCCTAGGACTGCACTACAAGATGCAGATAAATCATTCAGCAAACGTAGGCTCTCATGGGGTCCTGACCTTTGTTTCTATGAGGATCTTCTCACGGTCCAGCGTGGTGAGTTCTGGGGCAGTGACAAGCTCCACTTTGTCCTGGGGACCTTCCAGAGGGCCCAGAGGGATCTTGAAGGGCACCTCATCCAACACATTCATTCTGCTCGCCAGATGGGGTGAGGGAGCACAGTGACTGTTGAGATCCAAAGGGCCTGTTGCAGATGACACAGAGAACAATACAGAATAACGAATTAACCTTCTACCTTCCGCTCCCTGTCGTCCCGTTTAATAGAATGGATTTAATAGTAAATTATGGAGAGTAAATCTTTCCAGGCAGATGTAATAAATTTGTTCCCCTGGTTCTCAGACCCAGTTGCTGGCTAAATTTGTCTCCAGTGTTACGTGACATAAGAGCAGCCTGCAGAGTGGATTAGGGATTATGCCGCCCAAGTACATGGGAGCTGCATGCCACATGCTGGGGGGGCGGTGCTGAACGAGACCCGGGCACAGTGCCCTGGAAGTATCCAGGTGAATCTATGGCAAGCTCTGAAGGTGGCCCCTCCTCATTGCTGCTTAATATGAAGAAGAGCTGATTAAGCGCTGATGCACTGTTTGCAGTGAGATCTCTGAAAATGGTTTTTCCATTTTGATTTTTCATTTCTTCCTTCTCGCTTCTTGTCCACATGCTGTGCAGGAATTCCTCTGGCCAGGCACCACCATGCCTCCCTCGTGATCCACATGCCTTCAGAGATCCTGCTTCTACTACGAACCCCCAGATGTGTTTCAGCAGCTGCTACATACAGCTGGGAGCTCAAATGTGAAGCCAAAACTCTACACGTTACTGCTTGTCTGGGGTTTCTCCTACTTGGTGCTACATATCCTAGTTTATGACAATCTCTGCGAATATAGCATCAATGTTTCTTTTATTATCTAATGACTGCGGCAGACATACAGTTGACTTAACACTTTGGTGAGTTGAGTCACTGATCAGACTCCACAAGACCAGTGCTTTGCCTTACACTCCTGCGCTTGTATGCCCCCTTGTGGATAGTTTCATGCCGCAGTTTCACACTGGTTTAAATCTGACAGCGATCCAGCTATGAATGATTTAAATCCCATGTCATCACAGAAATGCAAAGGAGGTTTGCTGAATGTTCCCCTCACACACCGCACCTGTACAGGAACCTTTGCGTCAACAAAAGACTGCTTACTGCTTTCCAGAAAGGCGAGTCATTCAAGCTAATCTCTCTTAATCCAGTGATGTAACTTGCTAAGATCCAGTGTTTACCCAGCGTTACCCAGCAGGAACGGAAGAGTGATGAAAACGATCATGCAGACGCTGACAAAGAAAAACCTTGGATGAATCATTCAAGGAATACTGAGCAGAATGTGGCTGTGAAAACCAACTTTATCTCACATGGACAGTAAGAAGAACCTGAGAAGGACGATGGACAAACAGTCCAGCCGAAAAGCAGAATAAAATAGGTGCCATACAGCAGCTGGGGACGCGCTGATCACAACCCAGCTAATTTGTCACAGATTCATAGGAAGCTTTAACTCCTAACAGTTTGACTTTAGTTTGCTTCATCTTGCTTCTGAGAACATCACTGAATATACCTGTTACTTCTAATCCAGACCAGGAGGTCTGTGCATTGCTCAGTCAGAATGGCTCAGCAGCCCAAAAGCCCCTATCAGAACCTGTAATAGGAAACATTATAACAGGCAATTAATTCATTAATTCATTCATCTTTTATACTGCTTGTTCTATACAGGGTTTTGTGGAAGTCTGGAGCATTTCCTGGAAACGGAGGGTGCAAGGCAGGGAATAATCCAGGGTGGGGTGTCAGCCTATCGCAGGGCACATTCACACACCATTCACACGTACTGTATAGCAAAGCAGCCTGTTGCTGAATTTAGCCCTGGTGGTGCTGAGAATCTGTACTGGGTTACGGTTTACCCCACTGGGCCTGCTTTCAGCAGCTTGTTACGGCGCTATTTTTGGTCACAGGGGGATTCAAAAGCGCTGAGCTCATGGGAAACGGTGGGGATTTCAGCACAGCCACAGAGATTACACACACGCAGAGGGAACGGGCCGAGCCACACTGCGGAGGGGATCCGCCTTACGGGGGGATGATGGTGCTCTGCAGCCAGATTGAGCTGCACTGGATCCATTTTCTGTTTTGTCGAGTATCATTTAAAACTGTCTGTTCATGAAAAATGTGCTTATTTGAGCAGGAGATTTGATCACAGCCTTATCCAGTTGGTTCAATGCCTTTTTCAAGACAATCACATAAAAAATATAGAATCACACAAAACATAGGGATGGCTGCAAGGATGGTTGTTGATAGTGGTCACATTTGTACACTCAATCACATTGTTACATGAAATCTTGCATCATGGACCTGTTACCAGCTAGTGTGGGAGAACAAGAGCATCCTCTGCTGGTCGAAGAAGAAATGGACAGGGCACCTGCAACTAGGGACTCCCTTGTCCTTAAACGCTGTGATGTTGCATTTCTTTTTAATCACTCTTAAAAAACCCGTGTAATACACAAACAGATCTGACCCAGGATCTCTGAACCATTTCTGCATGAAAGTTAAACCCATAATGCTTATGTCATACTCCCAATACACATCAGATTCACCACCGAGTTGATATTTGACTCTGCAGGATAGGACTTTCTGTGATCAGAAGGCTGCTGGTTCAAATCCCCTGGCTGGCAGAGTGATCGTGTCATTTGGCCTTTGATGGGAACCCTAACCCACAGCGGTGCACTCTGCTGCCAAGCTTAGCTCACATCTGGGTCTGTGTGTCTGTGTGCCTCGCAGGACATTAACATGCGATTTGTTAATATCCTGCTCATTCATATTCATCCTGGCAACAGGTTCTAAGCAGAGAAACATCAGTTTCTAGTGCTTCACCTGCTTATAAATCACACTTTAAAGAGTGTTTCCCTGTGACAACTTCCCGCAAATCAGTCATCTTTATCCCATATTTTTTAACAGTAACGAATTACATGCATGTGTGACTGTGTGTACTATTCAACAAAATACAAAATACTTTGTGTGGATACATTTTTATTGAAACAGGTACATCTGCAAATCTATTCAGATTTTATGAACAAAACGGATTATTTTCAGCTTTAGAGCAAATGCTGCCAGGTATCCATTTCCAAATCAGTACTTTGCTTTTCCTTCAAATCAGCCCCAGACCCAGAGAAGGACTTAGGAGGACAATGACAGTGAGGGTGGCCTGAATGTCCCAAAGGCGTTAGGCCTGTTAGCTGTATGCTGTTCTAGATGTCCCATAAGGAACTCTTAAACCACCAGGAATCTAACACATCCCATCTCCACCAGTACCCGCGTTTCAGGGCTGCTTGGGGCCTGTGCCACTGAAACATGGACCAGGCCAACGTCTGTCCAGACGTGCACGTGACAGGGGAACGTGGGAGACGTCTTATTCCCCCGAAATACAGCAGCAACTCAACTGTAACAGTTAAAAACCTCAGTCAGCCTTTAAATGTGTTCTATAAAATGTACTGGTTTCGATGATTGTAATGGTATATCTTATTTTTCGGGGCTGTGCTCAAGAAAAGAATCATCTGACATTTCGGCTCAACTTTCAGCAAAAAAGTACTTCAGGTCGTAACCCAAGACGATCGCTCCAGAAACACTGGAATAACTATGTGACCAGAGTTCGTGTCGCAGTTTAATACTGGCTGAGCCTTGTTAATATGAACCCCTTCAACTTACTAAACCACTTGCACTCTATCATTTTCAAAATAAAATTTTACATTTCAATTTTTAACCAAACAAAAAAAAAACACCCCTTTTACAGACTTCCCCCCCCCCAGTTAATATAAAGTAGATTTTTAACCTGGTGGTAATGCAAGGCCTAGTGTCCAAGATACAGGAACATGAAAGGGCCCCCGGAGAGTGTGAATCGGCTGCCTGCGGTGTGCACTCCAGCAACAGAGAAGCAGTCTAGATCTGCAGTCTAGGTCACGGATCAGGTATTTCCCACCGGTCCCAAGCTTCCCCTACAAACGGGGACACTCAGGCTCGATGTCAGCGACTCCACGTCAGTTATTGGCAGCGTCTGCCTGCCTGGGCCAGTTCTCTTCCTCATTTCCAGAATCGAAGTCCTCCTCATTAGAGTCCTTTGCGGGCGCTCTGAGGGGCAGAATGATAGAGTCATAAAATTTTATGAAATACATGAACCAGAATCCCTGCTGTGTACCTTTATACCCCACAGAACTTCAAGCCTCATGCTGAGGGTCAAAACTCGCATCCCAAGCTCAAAGGCTCAAATCAGACCCTTGCTTAAGGTTCCGGTACTTGCCTTATGTACCGAGGTTCTGATAGGCCAAAAACCACATCTTTAGTAAGTTCCACGGCCATGATATCTGAATGTGGGACCTCAAACATAGGTTCCAGCAGCAGTTTCTCCTACAAAGACAACAGCAGGTCACGCACATGGAAGTCAAACACGCAAGACAGGTATGTCAATGGGTCTAGATGTCATTACCATGATGGATCTAAGGCCACGAGCTCCAGTCTTCCTCTCAAGTGCCAGTCTAGCTATGGCCCGCAAGGCATCCGGGGTCACAGACAGCTCACACTGCAAAGAGGAGTCCAGCTCACATCACTCTCCGACGTGTATCATTGTTGACAGTGCGAATTATCAAAAGAAATATCGTTGGGGCTTAGAAACCCATGACATAATGACCAAAGTGGTTTAAACCAACCAGTATGGATGGATAGATGAATGTAGCAAGGTGATGACTTAGTACCATTACCAAGAGCGGAGTAGTAGGATACCTTGTCCATGCTGAAAAGCGCTTGGTACTGGGGCACCACTGCATTCCGCGGCTCCGTCAGGATGCGCACCAGCGTGTCCTCGTCCAGGCTATGTAGAGGCACCACCACGGGCAGCCGGCCCACGAACTCGGGGATCATGCCAAACTCGATGAGGTCACGGGCTTCCACATGCCGGAGTAGCCGGTCCCGCTCCTCCATTTCCTGCACGGTGTCCACCTCGCCGCTGCTGTTGGCCAGGTCGGCTGCTGCCGCCGCTCGCCGTCCCTGGCCCAGGTTGGACGGGCTGCCGAAGCCCAAGTACTGTCGGCGATTGGGAAATAAGTCATTGTTTTAGCCCATTAACTCTAGACACACCAATTCAATTCATACCCTTCACAAGGGTCCCACCTTCTCATTCTTCCTGCGGCTGATTATCCTGTCCAGCCC